CGCCCCGCCGCGCGCGAGCGGCCGCCAGGATGCGCTACGCGGACCCCTCGGCTAACCGGGATTTGTTGGGAAACCGAACTTTGCTCTTCATCTTCATTTGCGCGTTCGCCTTGGTGACCTTGCTGCAACAGATCTTGTACGGCAGGAACTACATCAAGAGGTAAAAAGTCTGAGCGCGGTGGGGATGCGCGGAGCGGGCGGGCGAGCCCTCAGGTGGCGACCGCGGCGTCTGCCCGCGCGCCCCGGGGGAGAGTGACCGTGCGGTCTGCGCCGAGTTCCGCCGCCGCGTTAGGCTTGGGTCGGGGCGCTCGGAGCGCATGTCTCCTTCCAGCAGAAGAACTGCTGCCCAGCACGGGTCCGAGAGGCCCGACAACTTTGTTGGGCGGTGGAAAATGGGGGACAGGTTGGAATTTCGCGAGACCAAACGGAGGATAAATCCATTTGAATGCCCAGAGCGGCCGCAGGGGTCAGATCGGTGTCCCCCAGATCTACAGTGCCATTGCTGTCTGGTTGGAGGGGAGGCCCTGGGGGTGGAGGGGTCAAAACCCCAGAGCAGATAGCACTGCTGCTCTAGTCCAGAACTTTTGTGGGGATGTTTTCTTTTGGGGGAGGGCGTCCCCCCCATAATTCCCCTCCCCCCACGCAGGTGCGTATCATTAGGTGGGGGTGATCGCTAACTTGGACGATGACTCAAGGATAGTGAATTCTTATAAACCAGTGGCCACTGGATCTGTGAACCCTACAACTCGACCCCCTTCTGAAACAGAAGATTCTTGCTCCTCCTTGGCGCAGAAGGTCAGAGCTGCTGCAGAAGTTAACCCTCCCTTCTTGGGCCTCTGCTCCCACCCGCCCATCCTGGGCCAACTCCTTAAAGAGAAACAGCCTATGTGTGAGGAAGATACACCAAAATGCCAGCTTTCCTTTGTCTCGGTGCTGGAGAAGCAGAAACGCTCCTGTCTCCTGCTGGGGAGCCTCTTTGTAGAGCAGACCCTTCTCTTTGCTGCTGGAGGTATTTTCTTTGCTGCCAGCCTCTTCCTACTCTCACTGCCTACTTCCAGGCTAACCACAACAACAACAACAAAACCTCTCACTATAAACAACCTATCTGCTCTAAACTTCCAAATAATAAAGCAGTTGTTCTCTTTCCTTCGGGTTCCACATCAGTCACTTGCTTCCCCCTGGCTGGACTACCCCACGGAGTGGGAGGGTGAAGATGGATACTCTTCTCCTCCTCCTCCTCCCCCTCCATGGGCTTGGTGAGACCCCGCTGTAGGGGACATTTTTTCCAGCCAACCCCTGCCCCAACCTTCCCAGAGTGTCCTACCCCCCTGGAAGGCCCATGATGAGGTCTGCATGGTGCTGCTGGTGGCTTTAAAAGATTTCAGAGGCTCTTGGCTTGCTGGAACCCATTGGGCCTTTCTCTGTTCTTACTAGCCCCCCCCCCCAACCTGCACAGGGATGACCCTGTGCAAGGACAGCTGTGCCCTAAACGGCCTGCTGTAGCTTCTGCTGGTTGCACTTGTTCCTCAGCAGGGTGGCTCCGGGTTCCTACCCCCTGCTGGCACCTTCCCAGAGGCTGGAGATGCCAGGAGCTGCCTTGTCAATAGTCGAGAATATCAGTGCCCACGGTGAATGCCAGTTGTGCTACTAACTGCTTTTTCTGGCAAGTCCCCCCTGATCTTGGGTGGATGGGCTTGCTGCCGAGTTCAGCATACCCCTTGCCCCTAGCTGCCCTCCATCAGAGACCCTGTCCCTCTAAATCTCAGATGCCATCTTGCAGGCATCACTCTAGGAACTTGGTTATCCAACCAAGCAAAAGAGTTGCTTGTTCCTTACAGGAAGCCATGGGGTCTGTAAATAGGTGATGATGTGGTCCTGGTGCTCAAGGGATTTATTCTGGGAAACCGAATGGTCACAAATGAGATACTCAGGAATGAATGAGGGGGGCAGGTATCCCTGCACTGCAGTAGTTAGGGAAGAGGAACCTGAGTGAGCTCTTGAGGAAGGGTGAGATTTGGAGAGGTGGAGGGGAAATGCATATCCCAAGTGAAGAGGACAGAGCCAACGGGCCAGGAGGAGATCCTGCCTTCCCCCAGCCTTGTGTCCCATTCTCCTCACACTAGCACTTGACTTAATGCTTGGATAGTTCTTCAGGGAGGTTGCCCTGACCCTGAACCAGGTTGTGGTTGCCATGTTGGGGCACCCACGGCGTCTGCTCTGTTTTGTTGGAAATATTTTGTTTCCCACATGCGTCATAATTATGATGAATTGAAGGATGCGGCTATTAGTCTGTCCTGTTTCCACTCCAGAAACTCTCAAGGTTGGACTGTTCCCCAAGTAGAGGTCCTGGGACAGCCTGCATCAAAGCTGACTGGGGGACCATTCCATGCAGGTTCCCGATCCCAAATCTGCTTCTTGGAGCGTGGGGTTCTGTAGCCAGCTTTCTAAGCAGGTTTCCCAGATAACTGGTTAGTAGCTCTCCCTGCTGCTCTGGACCCATCCATGTTCCTCAACCAAGGGCAACATTGTCCCCCATCCAGAGTCTGGGGACATTTTTGGTTATCACATTGGGGAGAGAAGAGTGCCATTGGTATCTAGTAGTAAAAGGCCAAGGATGTTGCTAAAAAGATAGTACAATGTGTTGCTTCCTCCCTCCACCCCCCAATGAAGAACTGTCCAGCCCAAGACATCAGCTATGTTGAGGAGGTGAATCCTACTCTTGACAAAAAGCTCTATGACGTAGGAGTTCATTCTCTTTGGTTCCCAGCTGCACCTTGAGATCCAACTGTGGGGCTTGTCACATAGTAAGTTCTCAATAAATGCTGGATAATGAAGGAGTGGTCGAAGTGGTGTGCCTGTGTGCTCATGTGTGCATGTGAAGCACAGATGCAGAGATAGTAAGTGGAAGAGAGAGTGAAAAAATTGATCTGCTGGTGTTGGGGGGGAGGAGGAGAAGAGGGACAGATGTAATGCAGGTATAATGTTGGGTCAGTGACTCCAGTGGAGCATTATATGGATAGTAAGGACAGTTTGAACTTAATTCATTTGGCCATTGGAAGCCACGTGGCCCTAGAGTTGAGTAATGACGTGGAAAAAGCCAGCAGGAAGGAGGGTTGTCTAGGCCTTGTAGGGAAGGCTTAGCAAGGCCAGGCTGTTTGTACATCTTGGTCAGAGTGAGGAGAAGCTGTTGCAGGCGCAGGTCCATGGTAGGGGGAGGTTCTCCTGAAGACTGTCCTGCTTTGCTTCTGTGCTGAGCTGGTTTGGTAGATACAGTAAAATCTCCACTGTTTGCCACAGTGGGCTCGGGGCACAAAGGTAGCAGACTGTTCCAGTGGAATTAGGACTCACAGTGAGAAGGAAGTGGGGGGTGGCAGTTGATGTGTATTCAGTCTTGGGGCCCACAGCCTCTCCTTGGACTGTATGGTGGCTATTGTCAGGAAGCGGCGTGAGGAACAATCAGAACTCTGGGTAGCCATATTTTGAAAATACAGTCAGGAGAGGGAAACATGGAACAGTGCAGATGGCTTTCTCTACTGGATAGTACATACTGCGAAGATCAGGAGGAAAAGACAAGACGCAAAGCTGTGAAGTTGCCTTTGGTATTCTTGGCTTCCCTTTGTCCTCTATTGAATAAAGACTCACCAAAGATCTGCTGTAGGCTGGACACCATGCTAAGTAGACATGCCAGATGGGTACAGTCCAGGGTCCTGGGAAGCATGAGCTCTGTTGGGAAGACAGAAAGACACATAATGCACAGAGAGCCACAATGAAGGTGTAGACAAGGTCCCCCTGGATGGAGCCGTGTCACAGTGAGTGGGATTGGCCTCAAGTCACGTGGAAGTATTTGAAGGGAGTCTAGAAAAAGGGGAATGACCAATAAGTCTGGAGGGGGTGAAAAGAAGGGAGGTGAAGCTCAGCTTGAACTAAGATGGAAAGTGCAGGGACAATGGAGTAATTCTGTATAACTCAGCTTTGCAGCTCACTTCTAGCTGGGGGCAAAGTGTCCAGGGGCTGTGAAGAACTAACAGGAAACAAGCAGGGAGGAGCATATCTGGAGGAAAGATCTGCTGGGATCCTGCAAGGCGGTGCATTGTGGAGCTTCTCCACAGCCCACGGGAAGTGAACCCCAGAACTGTGGCTGGAGAAAAGTCAGCCAGGCCAGCAGCACAGATGCTGGCGTCACCAGCCATCAAAAGCAGTGTATTTCAGACTTCTGTAATTGTGTTCCACAGGAAAGAATATGTTTTACTCAGGGGTCTACACTCACACACACACCCATCTATAGCAAACTTTTTGTAAAAGAAAACGTAGGTGTATTATAAGAAACACACTTGAATATTCTTTTAAAATATTTATTTATTTGTGCATACAGAACTGGGGTACAGGCCAGAGGTGCAGGGGTGGTGAGAGACTTCATCGGAGACAGAGTGGTGAGCAGAACAGGCAGATGGACTGAAATACACTGCTGAGGGGTGTAGTGGCCAGGTCAGGAAAGGTCTGCTGTGCCAGGTGGGTCATCTCCCCTGCCTGGAGCTGAAGCAGATAAGGATAGCCAGCTTCCTGGTGCTTTTACACATTGTGCCACCAGGGAGGACCCTATTTTCTATTCTACTTCATAAAAACATTCTTTCCCACTTTATTTAAGATATAAATTCAGCCTTGAAAAGGAAGGAAATTCTGACCCATGCTCCAGCGTGGATGTGCCCGGAAGGCATCATGCTGAGTGAGATTAGCCAGGTGCAGAGTACACAGCTCCATGTAGATGAGGCCTCTGGGCAGTCAGATGCAGAGACAGACATGCCATGATGGTGACCAGGTACTGGGGGGCGGGTAGGGGAGAGGAGGTTCATGTTGCATCCTTTGGGGTAAGGTGGCAATGTTCTGGAGAAGGACGGTGGTGATGGTTGCACAACAAAGTGAATTGCCCAGTGCCAATGAGCTGTACACTTAAAAATGCACATTTTGATGTCTACTTTGCCATGATTTTAAAAAAAGAAGTGTAAAAAATTCTGGGGACAAACCACTGAATTAAGTGTATCATTAGTTAAAAACTCTGGTCTGTGTGGTGGGTTTGGATGAAATCACCCTGGGGGAGCAGAGTGGGAGGTGATGATGAACAGGGCACAAAGGAGAAATGTGCGGGCGTCTCAGGGGGCCAGG